CGCCAACATCCCCCCGCGAGCTCAGAGATAAGAGCGCCATTGTTCTGGCATGTTAAAGGGACCGAAGAAGAACCATGAGGAAACAAACATCAAGTAGCCCCGCGTACTGTATCCCGAAAGAGTGCGTCAAAAAGAAAGAGCCCGATCATGTTCTAGGTTGCCCCAAGACAGAGCTGTCCAAAACGCGAAGCTGCGCAAAAACCAGAGCTGTGAAGCAAGGCTGCGAAAAGCAGAGCTGAGAGCTGCACAAAGCCGCATTGCTGAAACGTACTGCTACACCAATACATAACAACCACAATTATTGCACCAAAGTTGCGGAAACGTGCTTCATGCACTACGACTGCGCAAAAACGCTTCGCGCAATAGCCGCGGGCATGTACTGCGCGTGCTACATTCAGACTTCGAAACCGCAACTTTGGCACAGGAGCTGTGGAAAGACACTTCCTGAGCACTGCGCTGAGTCGCTGAACCTTACACACTTGAAAACTGCGACTCCTGCGATTCGGAGAGTGCTCGTGTGCTACTTGCAGCACTTTAAACAACGGCTGTCGCGACAGATATTGCGCAAACATACTTTGCGCGGGGCCTTCGCATTTGCAAGCAAGGACGTCGGCACAAGCGCTGCAGGAGCGTACTCGTGCCAAAGCCGCGAAAATCGGACTTCGGGCTTACTTTCCGCCAAGTTCGAACGACTCGACGCGCACGAAGAAGCGAGGCTGCGCAAGGCTGCTCTGAGCAGGGTTGTGCACAGCGCCGAGCTGTGCAGAGCCAGGGAGCGCATAGCAGAGCTGCGCGCTGTTGAAACGCGCTGCGGCATGTGCGCTGTGTTGTGCAACAAAGCTTTGTTGAGATGCGCTGTGCAGCGAAGCCATGTGAGATGCGCTGTGAAGCAAGTTGAGATGTGCTGTGAGGCAAGGCTATTGAGATGCGCAGCGCAAGCAGAGCTGGCCTTTTTGAGCAAGAACACTCGGCGATTGTGCTTTCAAGGACAAGGGCGCCCGATTTACCCATTTACACTTGGCGCCAAGTTGCAGTATAAACATTAACTCAATTGGCCAATAGGGGTTTTGGACTCTGATGGACTCTGCCCTATCCAAATGGAAACTCTGAATGGGTGGTTTCGCTTTTGTCTTGCTTAAACCCCACACTAGCAGTGAAGAAACAAGAGGTATATACCTTGCTTTAGACAGCTGGAGGGAAACCCTGTCACGTCACGCATTTCATGCATCTCTGACGGAACACGAGGCTCGCTACAAACAACGGAAACAAAAGCACTGCGAGCCGCCGGGTTCTCTGGACTCTTTTTTCTTTTTTTCTTTAAACAAAAAAAAAACGCGGCGAGGCTCGTCCAGGCTGGTGATGGTCTTCCGAGCGATGGTGCCCGACACGGTGCGCAGCACCCCGCGCTCCAGGATGGACTTCCTTTGAAATGGGAATTGCTGTTTGAGATTCTGGGAAACAACCCCCTAGGGTCCCAAGACCCTATTATTTGAGGTCCTTTTGGGGTCCAAGGCCCTAAGGTCTTGGGACCCTGACTGGTTATTTTGCTTGTGGTTGGCTGGCTGCCCAAAGGATTGTGCTTCCCTTTTCATGGTTTTGCTTTGCCTGTGTTGAGCTTCGATTGTTTCCAAAGGATGGTTGCAAAGACCAGGGAACGGCTGTAATTTCGGAAGTCATGCTTTTAACGAGGCTTTTCGGCAACAACTTGTTGTTCTGTCGGGTTGTTATCGAAAGACTTCTGCCGGCTGCCCCCTTTTTGCTTTTCGAGGGCGCCGGTTTTGGGGGTTGTAACAGGAAACCAAAAGAGGATCGAACCCCAAATTGGGGGGGTTTGCATCCACGAGCCAAGCCCATAGCGCAAAAGGTCGATCATCCACGCAGCCCTAATTGGGGGTCCCTCATTCTCCGGCAAGTCTTGGGCGAAAAAGGAGGCCGGCAGAACTTGGCCATAGGGATCCGACAAAGCCACCAAGCGCAGCGTGCTTCAGGGCCACCTTTGCAAAGCAATACTTTTTCCCCGGCCGTGTGCTTCGTGATGTTTTTATTGTTGAGGAAACGGCCTGAAATCTGTGAAACCATATCTCGCATGGAATCTTTGCCTCAAAACTCCAAACTGCCAACCCCTCCCCAGTGATGGTGAGTGAGTGATAACGAGTGATTGAGTGATTCAGTCATTGAGTGGGTGATAACGAGTGATTGAGTGATTGAGTGATTGAGTGATTGAGTGGGTGAGTGAGCGATTGAGTGGTTGGGTAGTTGGGTGGGAGGGAGGGAGGGAGGGAGGGAGGGAGGCAGGGAGGGTGGGCGGGTGGGTGGGGTGTGGGTGGGGGTGGGGGTGGGGGTGTGGGTGGGTGGGTGGGTGGGTGGGTGGGTGGGTGGGTGGGTGGGTGGGTGGGTGGGTGGGTGGGTGGGTGGGTGGTGGGTGGGTGGGTGGGTGGGTGGGTGGGTGGGTGGGTGGGTGGGTGGGTGGGTGGGTGGGTGGGTGGGTGGGTGGGTGGGTGGGTGGGTGGGTGGGTGGGTGGGTGGGTGGGTGGGTGGGTGGGGGTGGGTGGGTGGGTGGGTGGGTGGGTGGGTGGGTGGGTGGGTGGGTGGGTGGGTGGGTGGGTGGGTGGGTGGGCAGTGAGTTGAGTGAGTGCAGTGCAGTCAAGTGCAGTGCAGTGAGTTGAGTGAGTGCAGTGCAGTGCATGGCAGTGCAGTGCAGTGCATGGCAGTGCAGTGCAGTGCAGTGGAGTGGAGTGGAGTGGAGTGGAAGGAGTGGAGGGGAGGGGAGGGGAGAGGAGGGGAGGGGAGTGGTGTGGCGTGGAGTGAGGGAGTGACCGAGTGACCGAGTCATTTCAGAAAGTGGAAAGGTCCCCTTGTCAATTCATATAGGAAGTCAAGCAATCAGGGCAGTGTTTGCCAACCCACCCTCAGGCTTGCTTGAATGTCGCGCAGTACCCCGGTTGACCAAACCGGCAAGTGGCCCAACCTCTAAGGCACCCATCTCTACAAAACGATGTTTTTTCGGCTTGCTTGAAAGCTCGGGAGTGTAGCAGCGAGACCTGATCTCCCAGCCATAGCCGTGCCCGACGTTAGCAACTTGCATACTTCTGCCCCGGAAGGTTCCTCCCCGATGTTTTAATCCAAACTTGCTGGTTCCATAGGCAGGGAATGAGAAAGGGAATGACCCCCAAGAATAACCCGCCCCGATTTGGTGTCCTTTAAGGGAATCCCTGGGTTCATTCTCAAAACCCTGGGTCATTCCCGACCTGTCGCACACGCAAGTCAAAGGAAAATCAACGAGAACTCCTGGCAATGGCTTCCCAGATTGATCGTGCCAAAGGGCCTCATTTTGCCGGAGACCCTAAAAGAAACTGTGGATCAAAATGAGGGTGTCAACTCAGAAAGGGCGACGAGTTCATGTTTCAGCTGTGCGGTTGCTATGCCCTTGTGATGCGTGGTTCTTTAGAAGGTCCGAACTAAAGCCATGCGTGAACATCTCGTGGGTTTGTCCCCCTTCCCAACAATCAACATAAGGGTGTGCCAACAGCAAACAAAACACAGGAGCAATTGGGGTCTGCCTGAAAATGAGTTGAAACCGCTTTTCGGAGATGATCTTGAGGGGAAGCTCCAAACAACAACTGTTTTTGATAAGTTTAGAGGAAGCCCGAAACAAAACATGTGTGGCAAACAAAAAGCATATTTTGGCCATCCATGTTTCTTCCGTCGTGCTACTTAGACCCGGGGCGGGCCAAGCTGCGCATCGGTGGAGGCTCCGCTGCCCGCCTGTCGGAATCCGATCCCCAAGGAACAAAGGGCCTGCCTCGATCCGTCTCTTGCATTTGCTTAAGTGTTCTAGGAAAATACAAAAAAATGTCCAATGGTGATAAATTCCCCTTAAAACCAACAAAGCAACAAAAAAGGTCTTAAGCAAATGGAAGGTCTTAGGCGATTCGAGTCGGCCATGCACAAGGTGGTTGGACCGAATGCTAAAGAACTCTCCCACACCATACCGACATTAGAACCCACAAACGGCGGGGTTACTGCAACTCCTAGTGAGAGAACTTTATAGGATGCGATGCACAAGCAGGTCACCGGCTACTAATTTGGCGTAACACCCCAAGAAGCCAAGGACACTGACCGTTGATGGTAAACCAGTGAATATGACGAGCAACATACAGCCATTTGTGTAGACTTTTCGGAGAAGTGGGGTTTGCTCAATCCCCAAGGGTACTGATCCAGGGCAATCACAAACAACAGGAAACAAAAACTGTCTCTGGACGTGCACGAGGACGATCCATCAAACAAAAAAACGCTTGAAAGTAATTTGGTATGTTTTTTTCTCCTTTGACGTCATGCGACTGCCGCTTTTCATAGACATTTCAAGTGACTGCCGCAGGTTCCCCCTGTCAGAAGAGATTTACAATGCCTTACATCGACAAAGGGAGGCAAACTGGGTAAGCTCCCTCTATGGCATTTTGGGGGTCGTGTGCAGCAAATGACAATTTTGTGCTTGACCGGCGCTCATTTGATCGCTGAAGAGCTGCCTCCGGTTTATCTCCAAAGCTTTGATCAAGACAGCCAAACATCGAGCTAGGAAGACTTGTTCGTGAAATCATCGGTTGCCCTATGTGCGTAGTTCTACCAAACATCGATGGCTCGAGAAGCCTTTGGACAGACAAACAAACTTGAAGGACATCAACTTGATGTTGGGGCCCTTTTGAGAAACGCGGGGTGAAAGTTGTTTCCTACGTGACGTTCCCAATGACTTATAGTTGAAGCGAACAAACGGACGGAACACAACTGTTGAGAACCCCTCAAGCCACATTTCATCTCAGGATTGAGATTTCAACAGATGCTCAAAGCTGCCATATCTGGTATCTGCATTCCGAACTCTCATCTTCCTGCAGCTGCTAAATCTTAGACCGATTCCGGAAGGGGAGAGTTTGCTTTTTACGGAGAAAAAAACAAGAAAGACCTTCTTACAGGGGTGCAACCGGTTTCCATCTCTGTTACCAAAAAGGAGGTCTAAACGAAAAACCCCGAGTCCTCAGGGAGAGGTCTTGGGAGCCACTCAGCCGAGTGCTAGTCTTCTTTGTAACCAAGCCGCTGGCAACAATAATGCACATTCGACACATGTCGAACCTCCGGCACCAGCCACCAGCCATGTTGAGGGAACCGTCTCCACCGTCAATGGAGCTACGTTCCTCCACCTATGGTCCAAAAGAGTCCGCTTGTTTTCAGCACGTGCAAGCCCCTCCTGAGACCTAAAGGCATCAATTTCTCCCAAAGCAGGTATTGGACCCCGACAAATGGATGGCTTCTTTGGAGTGCACAAACCGGAACACTCCCGGAATAGGCAAAAGCAGAGCGTCATGCTGGACATAGAGTTTGGGAGATTAAGGTATAATTTGCGCCAAACGATCAACACTGGAAAACAAAAGGTCAAAAGGGTTGGATTTGGACAACTGCGTGTACTTGCCGTCGTCCAGCTTTGACACCAACCCAGTTTCTTGGCTGGAACACACTCAAAATGGAGGATCCAAAACAACATGCTTTCCTTCGGTTCCCCTTCAAGCCAACCTAAACAGCGCAAAAAGACAACCCCTAGTTTGTTTCCAGGCCTGTTGCGAGTAAGCCCTCGGTAAGTGGTTTGGGGTCCTGTTTGGTCTCAGTTCTTGAGCCCGGGTTGGCTTCGGGCCGAGAGGCCACAGGCCATCAATAGACCGGGTAACGCTTGGCTTCTTTTGGCTTCCCATTCGCCATCCAAAAAGAGGAGCCCTGAAAATGTCAGAAACACCCATTCGTCATCACCGTTCAGGGAGTATGCCATGCAGTTTGTGCTTGGGTGCTCTCAATAAGCTTCCGCTAGTTTTGAGCTCGGCACTTTTGCTATGGGAAAAGTGCAAAGCGAAATCCCCGTCACCCCCTAAAGCTGCGTCCCCGGAAAGTGATCCGAATGCTCAACATGGTTGGCACGCGGCCCACCACTGGTTCACCTCCAGGAACTTAACTTCAGACCATGGTTTTGGAACATCAAGACATGACTTTTGGTTTTTCAACAAGTCTGCCAAGGGGCTTGAGCATGGTGTGCTTATTTGAACTGGGCAAATTACGCAATTCACACATCGGGCACAAGGCAATCCGCGTGAGCTCCCTTTGTCCGGCCTCTGCCCGCGTAGCGGGCGACGTGTGTGGCGTACCCCTGGCGTAGGGCTGTCTCTGCAAACTCAAAATAAATGGCTTCTTGGGTTCCCTTTAAACGAGGGTACCATCCCAGGCCCAAAACAGCAAGCGGAACTGCTTTTCAAAGGTAACCCCCGAGCGTGCAACCCATGGCAAGGATCAAGCATGGCCTTTAGCCATACGGCGGCATACAGTTGGTTTATCCTCGGGTGCTGGCGAATCGCCGCCTAAGTGGGCTACTTTTGGGACACACCCTCGATATACAACAAGGATCCTTGACGAATGCAAGATTGCACTCCTCGGGCATCCTGCCATCTTCTTTTGACTACTTTACTTGTTGCTACAATGGACAATATGGGCATCCAAAACCACTCCAGTCAGAAAGGAGAAGCACAGGAGGTTGCGGATACACCTGAATGTTTCAACAATGGCAGCACCCCAACGCACCACGATAGATGGACCATTCCTGACAGTTAGGCGGTTGTTCCAGGAGTCATAGGCGTTCATCCATCCCGCTGTTGCGAAGTGGGAATTTCCGCCCGTTGGATCCTGGGCCCAAGAAGCTGGTAGTTTCCCCATGGGCAGGCAACGGCCATGCTTGTACGGGCTCGGGAAAGGAAGAAACAACAAGTCCCCTCGTGGTTTCCTTTCGACACTGGGCTGTATGGTGTTTAAAGCAAGGGAAACAACGTGATGCTGGTCCAATCTCCTGTCCACCAGTCCCGGAACTCAGCATGATGTAGGTGTATAAAGCCATCATCGCACTCCCCGTTCACACGGTAGAACCCGTAAAGCGACTCCACAAGATAATGGGTCAACATGAGTGAGCCCTCAAATACCTTACGGACGCCGAAGAAGTCGAAGGACAAGTACCAACCAGGTCCTTCTGCCACCGACCGGGCCAAAGTCAAGAAGCAACTCTACAGGTTGAGTGGCACAGAGTTTTCTTCAAGGACAACCCTGGTACAAATCACGTTTGACACAAATCCTTCTGTAAAATGTTTTACGCACTCGAGTGGATGCCAACCAAGTTAAGCTCGTTTTGCCAAACGAATGCCATCGAACCGAATGCGAGAAAACCCTACAGCTGTGAAGCTATGAATTTCCAAATTCGGGAATCATGGACTCGATCTCCATGGATTATTTCAAGGATCAAGCATGCCAATGGGACCTCAGGTCACTTACCCTTAAGACGTCTCCCACAAGTTCGGATACCAAGTTTAGGACTTCCATAAGTTGATCTTAAGTACCTAGTATGGCTCAAGAGGCCCAATTGGCGCAACTCTTAAAGCTGAGTAAAGGGAAACCGCAGGAGTCCCAAGCTGGGTCGCCTGTGCAAGGCTCGAAACAAGCCCGAAACCAGCCACAAGCCAGTTAAGCAAAGTACAGGGCGGGTTCAACTGTTCGACCTGCTCCATACTTGCAATGTTTGCGGAATCAATCAGCTTACCCTCTTTCGGTGCAGGTGCCTTCCCATCTGCCTTCCCATTTGGTGGCAAGGTTCCCATTTGGGCTTCAAGAAGCAGGCCCTGAAATCCCCTGACCGATCCAATTAAGGGACAAGGAGTGCCCTCCATTTGCCCTAGGTCCAACAATCATTTTGAGCCGTTGGCTGCCCGGCGTGGCCGTTGGAATAGTTGTTCGGATTGCGTATACGAGTTGGAGCCCGCAGTTGCTCAACATGTCGTACACCTTGCTTCAGTCAACAGCCCTGTGACAACTACATGAAAGCCATATTTTGCAGTGCCAGGTAGTCATGGAACCCGAAAGCGCTGGACTCACGTCCTGAGTGGATTGGCCAAGCTTAAAGACTTTTTATTTACGATGCCACTGGAACGGCCTTCCCGAAAAGTTTCAGTGTAGGAACTCAGGAATTGAGTGGAGGTGCTCCAACATCCGGCTTCCCACAGGCGGTGCCTCGTGTTTCGCCCGCCAATTTTCGCCAAGGCACTTGTTGGACCCGGAACCACCGCCGCTGTTGTTGCTGCACTGGCTCATATTCCTTCTCGTCGACCTGCAGATAAATGGATCGAGCCGCGAGAAGATCCGAAAAAGATCTGGAAGGCCGGGGTCACATACCAAAGAAGAACCTGAGAAATATTGAGCTTTATTTGTAGAACTTCAATGATTGTGGGCATCTCAGCAGATCAGAAGCAACGCCGGATTTGTGTCAAGCGAGCTGGTAATTTCCAAGCGGGGTCCGGCAGTTCATGTGACGAAGCGACTTGAAAAACGATGGGCTGTACCACCAAGTAAGATGGATCCACTTGAAAATTCTGCAGAATGTGATCCGGCAATCCGCGGACACCCCTGAAGCGTTCTTAAATACCCCCCGCAGGGATCGCTGGAGTCCTCCTAATGGTGGCCCGTGTGCGCACGCGCAAGCCGCAAAGGCGGGAAGCTGGCTTGCTGGGTGTTTCTTGAGGCAAAAAGTGAGTTGCCAAAGCTTGGGACACATCTGTCATGGCCAGCCTATCGTCTGATCCCCAAGCCCGGGTAAAAAAAACTCGCCCGAAGGGGGAGCCCCCAGCACTCTGACCTCAGCTTTTCCACCCAATCAAAATTGGATTCTCCAGATTCAGTGAGCCTTAAGTCCCCAAACTTGCGAAAGGAGCCGCAAGGGCGGAATCCACTGCTGATTTGGGGCCCTTTGCCCAGTTGAAAGAGGAAAATGAGGGAAGCTGAGGCCGAAATACATTATCTGTTTGCCGGGAGGGGGGGGGGACAGTACCGCCTTCCCAATTTGGTGTTTCCCTTTTCTCTTGTTCGAGGCGGGAATCTAAGGTCCTGTGCGGCCCACTCTATCAACTGTTTGCCGTCTTTTGCCTATCCAAAGCCTGATGGGATCCCCATGTGGCCATGGGTCAAAATCCCGTACCCCCAGTGAACATCCCAATCCCCACAAAATAGGTCCTAAAATGGGTTGTGCACCTACCCCAAAATGGGATCCCATTGGTTTTCACCCACAGCCATGTTTTTACACCCCGCATGAGCTTTCTTCGCCATTGAACAGCCGAATATGGATCATGGCCAAAGCCTTGTGGCAGTTCTCTTGCGGCGAGCATGACGGACACAGACAGCCTTGCATTCGCTAAAGTCCACTGGGACAAATAAGAACACATCCAGCAGTGATAGATTCCCTTTCAAGCCAACAGGGGAAAAACACAGCAAATGGCAGCTATTGCTCGAGTTCAGGGAAGGCAAACAGGATGAATGTTGAATCGAGGCTTCCGGAGAGCCAGATGGTTTGACCATAGTAAGCTAGCAGGTTGCCCAAAAACGGGCATCCCGAGAATGAAAACAAACACGGCTGTGGGAAACAAATCAGGAAGGACAACTCTAGACCGCAAACCAACATGTGTTCACCCGAATTGTAGTTGGACAGTTGGGCGGCCCGGTTGTGAAAACAGGGTTGTTTTGATTGGGATGTTGTGTGGAACTTGGGAGGCTCCAAATTGTCCCCCGCAAACTTGCAATAGGAGGGGCGTTCCAAACCCCTGTTTTTGAAACTACTCCGAAAATGGGCTTTCTGTGACAGGAATGATCGCCTCCTTTTGAACAAATTGAAATCATCGTCATTCTTCCAACGACTCACATGACGACACAGCCCTAAAACGCGCCTGTAAGGAACCGTCAAGCACCCGCTGGCTTGCCTCTTCGGCCGAAGTTCGGATGCATTTCGGCCAGTAGAAACCAGTTTGGACGTGGCGAATCTGTGGATCCCCTCTAGGTTGTTAAAATGGAGTATGAAACGATGACCAAAAACGGACCAACCGCGGGAAGAACAAGCGAGATCCGGAGAAGAAAACGCAAATCCAAACCGTTTTCTAGAAGTATCCATACCAAACTTGTTTAAAGAAAAAACTCTTGCCCGGCGATAATCAAAAACACCTTTGGTGGAAGAGGCCATTGTTCGTAGGTGACCTAAGATACGCTGTGGCAATAAGATCCCTTAGGTTCTTTGCTGGCTAAAAAAATAAAAGAAAAGGGGCCCTTGTTGCGAAGGGAGCAAAGTTCGCAGAAATCAGATAGTTATGCCACAGTCAGGATATCTTGGTTTGCTTTTGTCCTGTAATAGAAAGGGTCCTACCTGCGCTACGTAGGTGTATCACGAAGTAGCTATGCCGAAGCAAAACAATTTTTTGGGCTGTGTGTTTTAACGAAAAGGGGCCCTTGGTGTCAACTCATTGGAACAAGGGGCGCGTGTCGTGAAAGCTAAGCTGCCTCCGGCCCAGAAGCGCTTGCCAAAGTAGGGTCAACTGCTGCGCTTCTTGACCAAAGGGACCTGGTGGTTTCTGTTTGGTGGACCCTCCAGACTCTAAGCAAGGGATCTTATGATCTTCAGAGACATCGATTGCAAGCGAAAAGTCTTGGGTTGCAATTTGCTCTGCCCCACATTTTCTACAGCCCTGTTCTACCACTTGTTGTACAATGAGGGTGGTGCCAAACTCTCGTAGCCGCCATGAACTGCGGTAGAACCACCCCCAAAGGCCAACAAGACTTGCTGGGTGGGAGGCGGGGAGTCTGCGTTTCTTGCGGGCAGTAATGTCCACTTTGGATTAATCCGGAGGACTGTACTAATCAGGGGTGGCTCCCTTTTTGGCAAGAAGATGACTTTGTTTTTTGGGGAGGAGGGTGCTCTGACTAGAAGGGTGTCCGGACTAGTCCCAAGCTAACATTACCAACCTGCCACCCCTTCGGCCAAACCCGGTATTTGCCCATATTTTCCCCGGGTCGTTTGCGTACACGACCCGTATGAAACCCGGATTTGTGAAACACGGTTGTTGAAAAGATTCGTAAACAACGGCGTTACCTGACAAAAACAAAAAACATCCATGTAGGATCTCAGGAATGCCGATGCCCACTTGTCATGTGAAAGGATCTAACATAGAAAGTAGCAACCACGAGTCATGTGCCAAATCTTAACGAAACCTGTTTGTTGGTATGAAGGTCAAGCTCACATTGTTCCTGGATTGCTCATTGGCCCCCGACACCCTGCCAGGCTTTAGTAGCCCTTATTTTGAGGAAACTTGCTTCTCCTTAGTGAGGAGACACTACGTTGCTTTTCAATATGAATGTAGGTGTGTGTGTGTGTGTGTGTGTCTCTCTCTCTCTCTCTGTTGGTGTGGGTGTGGTTGCCGGGGGGGTAAGGGCATTTTGGGGATCCTGGCAAACACCCGGACAGCCACATCCTCTGCGCAGGTTGCTTGACTGTGGATGACTCCAAACAGAACCCGCTGCACTTCGACAGGCAGACGGAGGTTGGGACTTGTGCCGGGGCCTGATACGTTCCCCCTTTGAGTCAGAAACGCCTGACGACCCCTTTGCTGCTTTCCTTAAAGGGGTCCCCGTTCAAGCAACGGCTGATGCTCTGCAACTTACACCTACCCGAAAAGGTTACACCTACCCGAAAAGGGGTCCTTTCTCCATTTGCGGAGAGTCTCTACAAGGACTTGTGGGCGCCTCCCGAGCAAAGATGAAACCCGCAAAGCCATCATTCGTTAACTTGTAGGGTAGCAAGTGATTTGTTTCAAGCGCGACCCCTCCAAAACAAAACCCAAGGACATGTATGTGTGTGTGTGTGTGCGCGTCGCAGGTTCCAAGGCAAGAGTTGCGCCTGATCATTTTTGCGTTTGCCAATGCACAGAAGGCCTCGCATCCCTGAGTAACAGAAGCAGGGATGCTCATGCTCTCGAGGTCTTCCGTCTCTGAGTAACAGAATCAGTGATTAATTCAGAGAACCATGTTGGGTGTGGGGAGCAACATAAGCAATCCTGGGCTGTTCTCAGATGCCCTGCTAAAAGTTTGACTGTTGGTGGAAATCCCCACTAAACCAACCCCCCTAGCCGGGTCGGCTACGGCCGGTAGGCTTAGGGGCGCCCGGGGGAGGGATTTGGCTGCCCTCCCCCTCTTTGCCCTGTTGGGCGGGCAGACCAACCCGTGACTTCCTTTGTTTTTGTTGTTGGTTGTCTTCTTCCTGCACGCTCTGCCTTTTCATTTGGCGGCGCGTGCAATTGCGCACGGGGGCCCCGCCGCCTTGGTGCGCTGGCCCTGCCTTCTCACTTGGCGGCGCGTGCAATTGCACGCGCGGGCCTCGCCGCCTTGGCGCGTTGGCCCTGCCTTCTGATTTGGCTGCGCGTGCGTTTGCACGCACGGGCCCCGCTGCCTTGGTTCGTTGGCCATGACTTGTTTTTGTGGCGGCGCGTGCGCCTTTGCGTGCGCGGGCGTTGCCCGTTGGCCCTGTCTTCTCTTTGGCTGCGCCTGCGTTTGCGCGCGCGCGGGCCCCACCGAATTGGCGCGCTGGCCCTGCCTTCGTTCTCTTTGGCGGCGCGTGC